ACCTGAGGCCATTTTTGACAAGATCTACACAACTCAGAGTGATGTTTGGTCCTTCGGTGTTCTCATGTGGGAGATCTTCTCTCTGGGTAAGTGTCACGAGTACAAGAAAACCAAACCCAAAGCTTCTATGTGGGAGAGACTGTTACAAATGATCATTTTTAAAATCAAAATGAAACTGTGAAGAGGAATTTGTATTTTGACGACTTGCAAATGACGACTTGCAAATGACAGGTCACAGTTGGCGGAAACGCGTGAGTTGCATAAAACTTCTCTCTGGAAACAGAAGTCACCAGATATGCTTAAAGTCAACCTATTATATTAAACATGGCCAGAGTTTAAAATTATAAAGTCATATGTACATTTAACCCCTGTAAACCTAAATCTTGGGCTTCAGAATGCTCTAAATGCTCAGTTTCAGATAAAAGTTGATTTACAGGGATGTTGGCCTTGAAGAAAGTAGAGCTTAAAAAAACATGTTGGAGATAGTGGATGAACTGAGTGACTGCACCTAGGCGCCGGCATAGGATAAGTAAAGATTTTCTTGAACTCTGAATCCTGCAAAGTTACCTGAGTGCAGTCCAAGGGCAAAAGTATTTAGACAGAATTAGTACAAAAGGTCAACTTTAGGCAAAAAATCTACAAACAAGGTGAAATGAATTTGACTGGATGCCAGACAGGTTTTAAATAGGCCCGACAACAAGCATCTTGATGGGTTAGATTTTAAGCAAGAGGTGCAACCTAACCTAAGGCCTAATTGATATGTACTCAAACTGTATTTTATTTAGTTAAAACCAAAAAGATATTTATTGGTCACTAGCAAAAACATTTCAAAGGCAAACACAACGAAGATAAATATCAGGAACAAGTTGAATTCAGCATTTAAACAGTATTGAAGTGTTGGCAGTATTTATAGCTGTATGTCATTGTTCGCAACATTTTATGAAACTTATAGCTAAAAGAAATAGATTTAAAAGGCTATTTTTAAATTAACAGTTATTCATAAATACCCTGTGAAACTGGGTTATTATTTGTATTTCACATTTACACTTTATGTATTTAATTTCGTCTCGTCATCCTCACATATTCAGGGCTGGCAGGCCAATAAAGTATTCGCCTCTGTTATAAGTCAAAACTGTATATGAGCAGTCCTGCACATACACATGGATGGATGGATGGATGGATGGATGGATGGATGGATGGATGGATGGATGGATGGACGTTTAGCATGATGTTCATCTTGATAATGGACTTGATTAGTGCCCCTAGCTTTTACAGTCTCACCAGATGTCCTGGGTAATAGCGGTCTTCTTCCACTGTGTAATTGTGCCTTTGGGACAAAGGCGCCTGGACTTGCATTGCCAGCCTGGACTTGCATTACAGTTTTCCTGGCACTCATGCAAAAAACAATCAGGGCCTGTGAATATTATCACAGGCATGGGACATTAAAACAAGTGAGCGCCCCTTATTCAAGCAGTCTGTTTCAACCCAGCTGGCAACATAAACTCTCAGTAACCAAGCAGCCAGATCAGTGTGAAAGTGTGCCCCTGCTGTGAGACCACTCCAGCCTTTAAGGCAGCGTTGTGCGTTGGTCCGTGATTGCATGAGGAACCTAGC